TACTTGCAGGATGTTAAGGATGGGAAAGTTAAACCCACCCATCCAGGTATTTATACTATTCTATCTAAAAACTCATAACATGCTAACTCTTAGGTCCTTGACACAGGTTGTGGATTTCACATTTTTTCTGATGTGCAGGGCCCAAAAAGAATTAAGGATGTGGAGCACGGGAAGGTAAACTTGATCATGGGGAATAGGAAAGTCTCACCTGTCAACAAGATTGGAGTTTACTCTTTATTGCATAGTAGTGGATTAGAAATAGATTTAAATAATTTTTGCTAATCGTTTGATATGGCGAGAAATATTATTTCCTTTCATGATTTGTACAAACAAGGTTTTAGTTTTTCGTTTGATAATGAAATTGGTGTTATTAATGCTTTTTACAATGGTGTATATTATTTCAAAGCATTACCTGGTAATGGTGTATATGAAATTGTGATGGTTGTAGACAACTTAGGAAATAATTTGTTGTACATTGATTCTTACAATGAATTGGATAAGGCATCGTTGTGGCATTGTCGTCTTGGACATGTCAACAAGAAGCGCATAGGCCAACTCCAAACGGCTGGAGTTTTGGAGTCATTCAAATTAAGGTCAGACGACACTCACGGATTTTGTTTGCTTGGAGAAATGACCAAGTCACCCTTCACTGGTACTTGTGAAAGGGGTGAAGGTTTATTGGATCTCATACACACCGATGTGTGTGGGCCCTTCAGAACCACCACAAGGATGCTAACCGCTTCTATGTGACTTTTACTGATCATTACAGTAGATATGGATATATCTACTTGATCAAGCATAAGTCAGAAACCTTTAAAATATTAAAAGAGTTTAAGCAAGAAGTGGAGAATCAGTTGGGCAGGAAGATAAAGATGCTCCAATCCGATCGGGGTGGTGAGTATCTTAGTATCGAGTTCCTAGACTATCTTAAGGAGTGTGGAATTGTTTCATAGTTGACGCCATCTAGGACACCACAACTTAATGGTGTGACTGAAAGGCGCAAATGAAACTTGTTGGACATGGTTCGTTCCATGATGAGTCAAGCTTTGTTACCTATCTCATTCAGGGGGTATGCCTTAGAGACTGCCACCCATATTCTTAACCTAGTCCCAACTAAGAAGGTTGCCAAAACACCTCACAAGATGTGGACAGGGAAAGCTCCCTCGTTAACACACATCAAGTTTTGGGGTTGCGAGGCTTTCTTGAGGCGCGAGACTCACGATAAGCTCGAACCTCATAGTGAGCGGTGTATTTTCATCGGCTACCTACATAAGTCCTTTGGATATCGCTTTTATAGACCGAGTGACAATGTTGTCTTCATTGTGAGGAGAGCAGTCTTTCGTGAGAGAGAGAGAGAGAGAGAGAGATGATATGCCAAGGGGACAGTGGGAGGAAAATTGACCTTGAAGAGCTTCAAGAGTCAAGTGGTGAAGGAACCTCAAACACTAGTGATCAACCTGATGAGGAAACTCCTGTTGAGTCGATTGATGAGTCCGTACCTCTGAGGCATTCCAGTAGAGTTAGTGTTCGACCTGTGCTATATGGTTTCCATATAACATCTGAGGGTGATACATTTATCAGTGATAGCACACTAGTAAATTTGGATGAACCTAACAACTACAAGGAAGCCATGGCAGGCCCCGAGTCTGCGAAATGGAAAGAGGCTATGGATAACGAGATTCAGTCCATATATGACAATCATGTTTGGAATTTGGTTGACAATGTATCGGGTTGTAAGACAGTCGGGTGCAAATGGATCTTCAAGAAGAAGACCGACATGGATGGGAAGACACACACATATAAGGTGCGGCTGGTTGCGAAGGTCTTTTCTCAAACTTTGGGAGTTGACTATGATGAGACCTTCTCACCAGTAGAGAAGAGTAAATCTATTAGGGTTATGATAGCCATAGTTGCATTTCATGATTATAAAATATGGAAAATAGATGTCAAAACTGCTTTCCTTAATGGAAAGTTAGCTGAGGATGTTTACATGAGTCAGCCAGAGGGTTTTGTCAATACAAAGTACCCTAATAGAGTGTGTAAGCTTGAGAAATCCATTTATGGATTGAAACAGGCATCTCGCCGATGGAATCTTTGTTTTGATGAGAAAGTTAAAGAGTTTGGATTTTCGAGAAGAGAGGATGAGTCCTGTGGATAACATACTTCTCATAGGAAATGACATCCCAACCTTGCAGGAGGTTAAGTCCTGGCTTAGGAAGTATTTCACTATGAAAGACCTTGGAGAAGCTGCCTGTATTCTGGGAATAAGGATATTGAGAGACAGGAGTAAAAGACTAATTGGACTTAGTCATAGTACCTACTTGGAAAAGGTGTTGAAAAGGTTCAACATGTTGGATTTCAAGAAAGGTGACTTACCGATCCAGATCAACGCCAAACTGAGTAAGACTCAGAGTCTGAGTACAGAGGCTACGATAGCTGAGATGAGTCGAGTACCATATGCTTTCGCTGCTGGCTCGATCATGTATGCTATGACTTGTACTTGCCTGATGTGGCCTTTTCCTTGAGCATGGTCAGTAGATATCAAGGGAATCATGGTAAGGCTCACTAGAAGGTGATAAATAACATTCTCAAGTACCTGCGGAGGACTAAGGACTGGGTCCTTACCCTCTGTGGGAGTGATGACTTGAGAGTGACGGGGTATAGTGACGCCAGCTTTCAGACCAACAGAGATAATTTCCGCTCTCATTAGGGATGGATATTCACCCTAAATAGAGGAGCAATTACTTGGAAAAGTTCTAAGCAGGATACTATAGTTGATTCAACGTGCGAATCAGAGTATATAGCAACAAGCGAGGCGGCGAAGAAGGCGATATGGCTGAAGAACATCATCATAGACCATGGAGTTATACCAGCTATAAAGGAGCCTATGGAGATTGTTTGTGACAGTGAGAGTTTGGTTTCCTTAGCCAAGGAACCAAGGGATCATGGCAGATCTAGACATATCGACAGAAAATATCATTTCATAAGACACCGAATAGAAGGACTCCTCGTAGCAAAGAGGGTATCATCATATGAGAACCTGGCAGATCCCCTCACGAAGGGACTGAGTAGGGTTAAGCATTTACAGCATGCAAGGTGCATTGGGCTGAAGGATGATATTAGTTTGAATGATTAGATAGCTATTTCGAAACTTGTAATAGATAAACTGTAATTGTCATTTGATGATTAAATAAAAGGTGTTTTTTTATTTACAAGTAATGATACTGTCTTATGTCAATTGTTTACTATTGTTTCAATTTTCATGTTTTGACTTCCAGAATAATTAAATTATTCAAACTATCCACAGTCAATCATATTTTAGAAGTAGGTATTAAGGCAAGACTGTCATGAATTTGGCTTGTAGATGTATGAATTGTTTAGACATAGCAAAGGATTGCTACAACATTCATGAGTGCTCATAAGGTCTGAATATTGGATTAAACCCACGCTCACTTGAATCACTTCGTGGAATTAATCACGAGTGATTGTGAGACGATAATATCATATAGTATTCAAACTAAGAGATATGAGTTGTTGACTATGAGTTATTTATACATAGATAGTGTGAAAACACAATAGTAACTTGATGCTATAAAATGTATTATTGTGTACGATTTAACAAGTAGTTAGTACAATCATATGTGTCGAATTTTATATGTTCCTTTTAGTCATTGGAGGATTAAAAGCCGTATCTTGGGCCCCTCGATGATTTTGTTTTGACTTATATGTCGGGCCTGGTCAAGACTAAATTGATGTGTACAATTATGTTCTCTATCAAACAAATTGGAAATCGGGAAACAGATGATGGACAATAAGAATGACTATGTTCCATGTATTTGCCCGACTGATATCTTGAGAATTGAGGGTTTTATGATTCCTTATCTAAAATGGTGCGTATAAGTTCGACAAAGGCTTTTAAGAGCTACGATTGCTAGTCGGATCCGGAAGTCATACTTACAGATATATTTACTAGACTTATCCAAGTGGGAGACTGTTCGATAATGTGTCTAAGTCCATAACTATATTTGGTATGTACTTGACTCGGAAGTAGCATGGTCCATTTGGGTTGCATTTCACCAGAAAAAATTGTAAGGATGGACTTTTGAGAAAAGTATATTTATGATTTATTAATATATTATAAGTTCTAATATATTAATATGAAATCATATTATTTCATTAGTATTGATCAAGAATTAATTTGGAATTAATTCAGTGATCAAAAGAGACTAATTAAATGTACAAGGAATGATTTGGTAAATCAATGATTCTTATAGTGTGGGCCAAATGTTATTTTGATTGGGCTAAACTAACATGGTAGTCCATGGATATTCCATGGAGGTTTAACCCATGGAGCCTATGTAAGTTCTAATATATTATTATAAGTTCTAATATGTTAATATGAAATCATATTATTTAATTAGTATTGATAAAGAATTAAGTTGGAATTAATTCAGTGATCAAAAGAGACTAATTAAATGTACAAAGATTGATTTGGTAAATCAATGATTCTTATAGTATGGGCCAAAGGTTATTTAGGTTGGGCTAAACTAACATGGTAGTCCATGGATAGTCCATGGAGGTTTAACCCATGGAGCCTATGTAAGATGAAAGGTCATGCACATTAGGGTTTACATCGATGTAACCCTAATCCTTGCCACACTATAAAAAGAGTCCCTTATCTCAAGAAATCGGCCTCTAAGCGATCTTTGGAAGAGTTATAGCTGATTTTGTGAGCAAGCCATTCTCTCTCAAGTCCACCATTTTTGGTGTTTTGTGAAGCATTTGAGGCATCACATTTGGGGTGCTAGGCTCGTAAAGGTCCAAGTTATCAAGATACAACAAAAGGTAAGTCACTCAACTAGTTTTTTTTGTCCATGTACCTAAGCTTGGTATGCTAGATTAGGATGAATGATTTGGAAATCAAATTGCATGTATAATTAGTAAAAAAATAGATCCAAAGCATCTGGGGTTGCATGAACACCATAGGAGTGTTTGAATGCTCAAAACCCATCAAAACCTTCTAGAGATTCATATTCATCACCCATAATAAAGTCTTCATCTGAACTGGGAGACAAAGGAGGTTCAGAAGTTGATGGCGGTTCTGAATAATTCACACCAATGTTAACATTTGAGTCCATATTAGTATGTGCTCAGGGTTGTTTTAAGTCCTATTCTCTACCTATCAGATTCAAAAGTAGAAACCTCTGGTGTCGTATCTTTGATAGGAGATGCTTGTGATATTGAAGGAGATGTGGTAGAATCGGTGAAGATCGAAATCTGAAAAGGCCAAGTAGTTTGAGATGAAGATTTTTTTTTTCAGAAATGGATTTCAAAAGTGGAGGAATGGTAGATTCGATCAGAACTGAAGTTAATATTGGAGGAGGTGGTGGTGGAGTTTGAGAAAGATTAATGATTGGTTCTTTCAAGATATTTTCAAAAACATCAGGCTCAAGTGGAGTCGCTAAAATAGTTGAGCTTTTCGAAATCTCTACAGATGAAATTGGTTTAGAAGTTTTTAGGAGGGACTTCAGAAGTATGTACCGTATCATCATCATGAACAAAAGTATCTTCTCCCAAAATCTTGCTTTGAGTTTGATCATCAGAATCTTCATCAATGATAGTACATCGGTACTTTGGCATTCATTGTTTCTTTAACTTCTTAGGAGCACCACTAGTAGCTTATAACTTTCTCTTTCCTCCTTTTTTTCGGCAAATCAACGGTTGCTAGAGTTGTTTGAAGAGAAACAGGAATTTCATGAATACCAAAGTTTGGAATTTCCTTGTAGGCTTTGATGATATCATTATTAGAAGGAACCCTTTCTAACCTAACTTCTGGAATATAACCAACAAAATCAAAAAATTTAGGATCAGAAGTGACAAACATAGTTTTTTGCATTTTGGGAATCGCAATAATCACATAGTCTTTCATCTCTGGCATATGATAATGATTTAAGGCATGAAGAACCATGATTGTCAAAAATCTAGCACATGAAATTTTTGCATCCTTGGAATTTGAACTCACACTTTGAACAAATTCACTCCAAAAAATTGTTCCAAAATCATAATTCTCTCTAGAAAACAATTCATTGATTAAGGTATAGAAAGTTCTGCTAGCACTATCTAAACTATAGCCCTTTCTGATAAACACTTGAACAATATAGTGAACAATGCATTAGAAACAGGAGGTAGAGCAGATTTCATGAACCTAGATAAAAGTGAGAGATGATATTTATACCTCATTTCATGAAACAAAGAGATAAGACTAGAAATACCCCCCGATTCAGGTTGAATAACATTAGATGAAGAAGAAAACCCTAGAACCTTGCAGAAACCCACTTTTGAGATTGAAGTTTTGTGTCATAAACTTCAAAATTGATCACCTCTTGAGTATTATGATAAATAGCAGTTGAATATGCCTCAGACAAGTAAGATAAAGGAACCTTCTCAAAAATTGATAGAGCCTTCATCAATGTAGAATATTTAAGGCATTCGATCAAAAGGCGAATGGTTGGGTTGTACTTCGAAGCTTCCAAATCAGCTACCAAGTTTTGATTGACCTTGAATTTGAGCATTACAGTTGAAGCAGTTTGATCCATGAAGGAAACATTCTCAGAAGAAACCATTTGCGGATGTAGAAACCTGTAGAGAATCGTAGAATATTTGAGAGAATTAAAGAAGGCTTTAAGTAGTTGTGTGAGCGTAAAGAACAACACTTACAACTGTTCAGCTTTATATAGGCTTGGATACCTAAATGATTTTTAATTTGAGTTTGAACATGTTTTGAATAACTGGAGAGAGAAACTGATGTTCACACATTTAATGCCTGTCAGCTTACGTTGGCCAAGAATTCCTAAGCCTATCATGTCTTTAATAAATGCCCAATAGAAAACTGTCGGCTCATGAAAAAGTATAACCAATTTGGACGCTGTTTGAAACATCATCATTGATCTTCCAAGATCACACCATGATTTGATTTTTCATTATTGAAACATTGTATTTAATTTTGTAGAAGTTTCATAATCATTAATCCACCCTTTATCTTTACATAAGCCAAATTTGTATGCATTAGAATTACGATTATGATTGTTTTAGTCACCAATTTTACTAACCAAGAGTAAGAAGAGTTTCATCTAGTCACGAGACGAATGAATTGAATTATTAACTAGATTTGTGAAATCTTGGTTCAGATTGGTTTTATCCGAGACCTTAAGGATTTCAATTGATGTGTGTGAAAGTGCTAGAGAAATGAGATTTAAGAAATATGAAAGCTTGTTGGTGCATCACGTTACCCTACTGTGATAGTAGGAGATCATAACACATAAGTTATAACACTATAAGTCTCAGATTGTTTTTATTTGAAACCTAGGAGGTGTTATGTGAAATATGATAAAGATATGAATGAAAGAAATGAATGAAGTGATGATTTTTAGGTATTGTTTTGTGGGTCTCACTCTGCGTTGTGGTGATAACAACAAAAAGATCATAAACACATTAATTTTGTAAACATATATCAAGTTCATATACTTGGTAATCAAGGGATTACATGGAATTTTAAAATAGATATGGTAGAAATAAAATATAGAATGAAGTCGATATATTGAAACATAAGAACGTTTCATCCGTCAATTCCTTCAGTTTCACACTAGAATTTAGAAATGAATTCACCATCAATTTGAAATTTGGAAACGAGTTCCTCACAATCTCAAGGTAATAATGAAATTGAACATAGAAAAAATCTTTACAAAACCTCATTCCATGTTGGTTTAGACTCAGAACATCAGGGGTTAAGCGAAAACCATTGTTGATATATGACAAAAATAAAGAAAATCTGGATTTTTGAAAATTTTCAAATTTAAAGACAAAAATAAAGAAAAACTTTTTGGATTTTTGAAAATTTTTAAATATAAAGACAAAAATAAAGAAAATCTATTTGGACTTTTAAAATTTTTGAAATTAAAAGACAAAAAAAATATTTTTGGATTTTTGAAAATTTTGAAATATAAAGACAAAAATAAGAAAATATTTTTGGATTTTTGAAAATTTTGAACTATAAAGACAAAAATAAAGAAAATATGTTTGGATTTTTGATAATTTTGAAATTTAAAGACAAAAATAAAGAAAACAAAGTTACCTTAGTGCACCGGCCTTCAAACTGATGTACCTTAACTACAAGAAAAAAAAACCAGAAATGAACAATGTCTTCTGACTGCTTCCAATGATCGGAAAAATTCTGAAATGAACAGTGAGAACCGATGACTTCCGAAATTCGAAACATTTTGGAATTAACAATCTGAATCCAAGATGAATAGTAAATTCTGATTGCTTCCGATACACCACATTTCAGAATTACAAAAAATATTTTGGAACTGATTCAACCTCAATCATCCCTAGACCTTAAAGAATTCGATAAACATTTTACAAAATGAACCTCAATGTTTCCATCTTCAACTTGGTATTTGATGAAATGATATCTTAAGGAAATGTGTTTTGTCTTAGAGTGTTGAACAGGATTATGGAAAATTCGAATTGCACTTTCTGAGTCATAATAAAGAGGAATTTTCTTGATGTTGATGTCGTAGTCTCTTAATTGACTTCGCATCCAAATAATTTGAGATGTGCATGAAGTGGCATCAATATATTTAGCTTCAGCAGTTGAAATCGAGACACAAGTCTACTTCTTTGGTTGCCAACTTATGAGTATTCCATCTAGAAACTGACAGCCGCTTGTAGTACTCTTCTGATCTAATCCACAACCTCCAAGATCAGCTTCTAAAAAATCATGTGCGAAGAATCCAAAATTATATGGATACCACAAACCATATGAATATGTTAGCTTTAGATATCTAAAAATGTTTTTCACATCAAGCATATGTGGCTCTCAAGGATTAGCTTGATAACGTGCATACTGACACACTATGAACATAATATATGGTCTACTCACGGTGAGATACAAAAGCGATCCAATCATTTGTCGATATTGTGTAAGATCAACAACAGGTTTATCAAGAGATGGATTTAATTTTCTTTTGAATCCCATGGGAAATTTCACTTTGGGATCACCTGTCATTCCAAATTTCATGAGTAACAATTTGGTGTAAACTTTCTGATTAATAAAAATACCTTCTTTACTCTGTTTTATGTCATCAACATAAATTTGAACAATCATAAGATGTTCTCCTTCCTTCTAACAATAGAAAGTAGGATCGACTGAACCTTGTTTAAACATGGATTGTTTAAGAAATTGAGTCAGAGTTTCATACCAAACACGAGGAGCTTCTTTCAAACAATAAACAACATTATCAATGGCATAACAATGACATGGATATTTTTCATTTACAAAACCTGGTGATTGTTCGACAAAAACAGTTCCTCAAGTTCACCATTTAAAAATGCACGCTTCACATCCATTTGAAAAACTTCAAAGTTTTTATGAGTAACATATGCCAAAAAGATACGAACAAATTCCAGTCTAGCAACTGGAGCAAATATTTCTTTGTAATAAATTCCTTCCTCTTGGCAATATCCTTTAATCACAAGACGTGCTTTGTTTCGAACAACATTCCCTTATTTATCAATCTTATTTTTGAATACCCATTTAAGACCTACAATAGAAGCATCTTTTAGAGTTGGAATCAATCCCCAAACATTGTTTCTTTAAAAGTTATGCAGTTCATCTTGCATTGCTTTCACCCAATCTGCATGATCAAGAGCAATTTTAACAGTTTTAGGATCAATTTTTGAAATAAAAGAGTTATGCATGAAAAATTCCATTTTTGAATCTACAGCAACATGTTTTTATTGTAATTGATCACGAGTTAAGACTCCTGAAAAAGTATCTCCAATGACTTGAGTTTTTGGATGATCTTTTTCCATTTTGTCAAAGGTGGATAATTTTGATCAGATTCAGGATTAATCTCATCAATTATTTCTTCAACATCCGATTGCACATCGGTGTCATAATGTAATGACCTCTCCCCCTAGAATTGATTATTTAAATTCTTCCCCTTCACAAAATCGTTATTATTTAAATCAGAATCAGAATTAGAAACTAAATTAACAACTTCTTCATGTGAAAGTGAAATAGAATTTTCTTAATTCTCCCCCTCAGCAGTATGATTCTGACTATGTTCATGAATTTCAATATTTTCAATTGCATCATCAACCAATTTCAACAATTCATCTTCTTTGTTATCTTTATCTTTTTCCTCTAAAGAAATTTTCTTTTTTGGCTCATCAATAAAGATTTTAAAAATCTTCATAAAGAGTCATAAGAGGTGATGTTTGAGTGTTTGAAGATGGAAAATTTTCATCTTTTTAAACAATTGGATTTTGTTGAGAATTCTTGACAAATTTATCATCGAAAGTAACATAGTAGCTTTCTTTAATTTTATTGGATTTCTTCTTAAGAACTCTGAAACTTTTGACATCAAAGAATATCCCAGAAAAATTCCTTCATTGGCTTTAACATCAAAAATTTTGTGATGTTCCTTTGAGTTATAGATAAAGCACCTAGAACGAAAAACATGAAAAAATATAACCTTAGGTTTTCGCATATTCAGAATTTCATATGGATTAATTGAAAATCTTTTATTGGTAAATGAAAGATTTTGAG